GCGCAGCCAGGCAGCTGGGACTGCGCTTGCTGTGACTGGAACAAGTAGCTCAGGGCATTTGTCCTTGGGCAATGGCAGGGATGGGGCCCCAGACCAGTCTGTGCAATGAGTCAAGGGGCGGCGTCACCGCCGGCACATTGGTGGAGCTGCGTCCTGGAACACTGCAACAAACTGCAACAAACAAACTCCAACAAACTGCAACAAACTGCAACAAACTGCACCACGCAAGAGCCAAGAGTATTCTATGCTGTCCTGATGGGGTGCTGCGCATGAGGGCATCGTTGGGCCCAGTCCTGGAAAGTATCATAGAAACCAAGTTTGGTCTAAAGAAATTCAGGAGATGTCCTTTGCACTTGAAGCTGCAGCGGGTTCCTTGCGTGAGGCCGACTGTCGTGAAACTGGAAGCAACTGGAAGCAACTGGAAGCAACTGGAAGCAAAGATGTACCAAGTAAGGCTGCGGCTTGACTGGCTCGAACCCCCCAGTAACGACTCGGACGGGGGATGGGCTGCGATCGTTGGATGACGTGTCTCGATAAGCCGGACGCCCAGCGGGAGGCCTGGACCTGGATGGACTGTTGTCACGCACATCACGGCCACGGTAACCTCCTGGCCCAACCGCGGGCCCAACCGCAGGTCCAACCGCAGGTCCAACCGCTGGTCCAACCGCTGGTCCAACCGCAGGCCCCGCCCCGCGCCCAGCTGGAGCTGGCCCAACCACAGGCCCAACAGCAGCGCCAGCCCCAGGCCCAGCCCCAGGCCCAACGGCAGGCCCAGCCCAAGGCCCAGCCCGAGGCCCAGCCGAAGGCCCAGCAGAGGGCCCAGCAGAGGGCCCAGCAGAAGGCCCAGCAGAAGGCCCAGCCAGAGCATTGGGTGCACTGCTGCTCCCTGGTCCCATTGGCGCGAGCCCGCGACCTTGACCGGGGCCTCCAAAACGCTGGCCGTAGGTTTGCTGTGGTTGCTGCATTGGCTGCATGGGCTGCATTGGCTGCATGGGCTGCATGGGCTCAGTTGCTGGCATTTGCCATGTCCCCTGTGCAGGCTGCGTGAATTGCGTCTGCTGTGGTGGAACCTGCAGAGGTTGGCCCTGGTTTGGCTGCATCTGCTGAACTGGCTGCATTGGTGCCGTTTGCAAGGGCGGCATACCGGAATACTGCGGCTGCTGCATTTGCTGCTGCATTGCTGGTGATGGGTAGGCTGGTGCTCCTGGTGGTACAGCTGATGCTTGATACCCGGGGAAGCCCCTATTGGCCGTGTCCATCGGCATGCCGCTATATGCCTCAGCAGAAACTCCAGACATCTCACATGGTCTCACGAACAGCACGCATGACACTTGCACCAATAGTGCATCTGCAACGACGGCAACTGGATGGACTGGTGGGGCAGGAAGGCAGGCGTTCGCAGAGGATTGCAAAAAGAACCACAACAATTCAAAATCTCTTCCCGGCATGTCTGCTCCACAGTCCGTCAAAGACGACTCCAAGGTTTGTGGAGTTGAGGGTTTAGGGAATGTCGGTGCAGTTGGGAGAAGGCGGCGACCCTGGGCCCTTCGGCAAGCAAGGACAAAAACATTATGTCACAACAATTGGGCCCTAAAGGTCGACGCCTTGGGGACCTTTAGAAGATGACGACAAGCTTCGACACGGATCTCGGACAAACTCGAGACGTCTGAGTTGCATTACATGTTCCCACTTCGAATGCAATTTAAAGAATTCAAAAAGTCTTCCAGTGACGTCTGTTCTCCATGCGGCATCATTTTTGTGATCTCATACTTTGAGAGGCCCAAGCTGCATTGTTTTTGTCGCCTCGCACGAAGGGTCCATGACATCATCCGTGGTGGCATCGTTCACGTGAAAGCATTCTGGTGCGATTAGCTTGAACACTGAGTTTCGTATTCGGCCGACTGCGCGATGTTGTGCATCAAACCCTGAGAGGGTATCTTCCATTCAAAGACTGTGACCACACTAGTCACTATTTGCAAGATTTTGGACCATGCTGGAGCTTGTGCTGAGGCGAGCCCCTGAAGCGGCCAAATGGACGGGTCGGGGGCCCATGGCTGCTCCACTAATATACCTTCTCTCGTTTGAATTTCTGCAGACCCAGAGGATGCCCCGGTTCTCCTTTCGAAAAAAGACTCTTGCATTTGCCTCACCTCTCGTGAGGATCATCGCCGTACATAACATCTAGTTTTCTTATTATTCGAACACACGCTTTTTCATATTAGAGTTGAGGATATTGTACTACACTGAATGAGATTTTGCTGCAGCCACCGCCCATAGGGGACACATTTTAAGGGCACAGCTGGTCTCGACGACCTCAATTGAAGTGTGTTTGAGTCAACAGCCATCAGCCACCATGTGCGCGATAATGTCAGAAAACACGTTTGCCCACCTTGTGCGGTGTGATAATATGGGCCCCCATATCACGGAACTGCTGCTCGAAAATAGTGCGATGTGGTTCGGTTCTGAAATTCGCGTGGTGAGCCAGCATTCTGGGAAAAACCGCTCTCCTTCTTGAACAGAAGAAATACTATGTTCCATGCCTTGGCAGTTCTACTGTTTTCCGTGCCTTTGGCAGTCGTCGTCTCCGCATGAAAGTCACATACTGAGGCAGTTGCACCCTCAGTTTGCATCGCGCCCGGCGCAGTGCGTGGTGGTCCATATGCCGATGGCTCAGGAATTACCTCTACCGCCAGACATGTCACATGAAACAACAGCTGATAGTAAATAATGACATCCACTTGACATCCCCAGGCCTGAAGCCTGTGTGCAGCAAGGGCCTGCCACAACGATAACAAATCAGACGACGTACCAACAACAATCGCCAACATCAAAGTTCAGCCGTTAAGCGACGCAGCGACATGTTGGAAAATCATCTCGAAGCCGTTCCTGCTCAAACTCTTCCCGCGACAGACCGCCATCCCTGTTCTTATCGAAAGCAGCGAAGATTGCATCGACCTGGCCAAGAAGGTCACAGGGATGGCAAGAGACACTGCAGTAGAAGGAGACAGATAGACGGATAGACGGATAGCACCTGACGACCAAACTCTGACGGGGGGCAGGTGTAAATGGGTACCTGTTGGAGTCTGCAAGTCACCTCTACCCAACCGGAGGTATCTGACGGGCGGAGTGCCTGCGTCTACAACCCCCGAGGCCCCGAACGGGAGGGGAATAGATACTACCTGACGGCGATCACGTAACTTCCCGGAGCACATTCCCGGAGCACCAGAGAGGCAGAGGAGGCGATAGCTGGCATCAGACAGGCGGCCCCTCCAACCCGCAATTAACCGAGATCAATTAACCCTGCCGAGGTATCTGAGGGGCGGAGTAAGTGGAGGGGCCGGGCCGGGGGAAATAGATGGATAGATAAAAACCTTCCAGCCCGCAACAACCCCTCTCCACGGAGGCTTCTGACGAACGGAGGTATCTGGCGGGCTGAATACCTGACGGGCGGACCCTCTAACTTTGACCTGAATCAGAAGTCATGCAGCGTACATACTGCAATAGAGTCAGTAAAGGATAGATGCCAAACAGCCTTGGGCCCTAAACACTCCCCGTTCCTCCCTCGCAGCACCTCGGACGGCTGCATGGCTCGTGAGCGAGACCTGGAGGCGTCCTGCAGGGCTTGGTGGTGCCTGTGCCTCATGCACCAATCAGCAGAAGCCCCTTGCCGCACCTTGGTATACCCACTTCACGGCCCAAGTCTTTGAGCCAAGGGCTGCAGACAGGTAGCTAGGCTGCACTTCTCTTCTTACATCATATCACGCTCCAGGCATCCGGGCAGAAGCCACTCTACGCACATTTGTCTTCACTCGCCCTGCACCACTGCCGAAAGCACGGGCGCAGCCACTACCAGGCAAAGCGCTGCACCTCAGCAAAGAGCGAAAGAGATGACACGGACGAGCAGGATCTTCAAGGGTATGCAAGAGGCTTATCAAGCAAGATCAAAAACACCACATGGGTGCCATCTTTGAGAACCGGAGCTTTCATCAATTTTAACCGTCTCAGCCTTCACAAAATCTATGCACGTGCTCTTGATTGATACTTCTGAGATTTGCATATGGGGGCCGGTCACTTGGCCGCAGGCCACAGGCTGCCCACAGCAGGCCATGCAGCACGGGACCGAGGACCTCGACACCTGGCCACGCGCTGCTCGGAACAGTACAAAGCACGTTGCAAACTTACAAAAAGAAACACAAAACCACTGCCGAACAACACCCAAATCATTCCTAGGCAACATGCACAAAACAACCGAGCATCTCGATGCGCGTTCATGCTTAGAAGCTTCGGAGCACCTCGGGCTTGAGGATGGGCACCTTACACAAGCTCTTGAACTCTTGAACTCTTGAACTCTTGAAGCTTGCTTGTGAAGTTTGCTTGTGCTGTGCTTGATGTGCTTGTATTTGTCACGACGCCAGCGCCACTGTCTTGCAAGCGCCGTCGCGCGTGCTTGCAACATTTAATGACAAACTGGCCTGCCCCTGCAGTGCCACCTTGATCTCAACTGCTTTGTTCCGGGAGCCCATCTTTTTTGCTATAAAAGGTTCTTTTCGCAAAGCTTTAGCACGCCTATCCGCACACACCTAAAGCCTGGTCCTGGATTTCGTTGGTTGTCTACGGATGCGAGTGCCGAGTTCAGTACTAGTTCAGTCTTATGGTTGAGCGTGGAGGAAGGCTTGAGGGTAAGGTATGCGGGAGGTGAACTTCTGTCAACTGAAGGTGGGAGGAGGACCACGTGGGCCGGGTCCTTCCTGGGGTGCGTGAGACTTGCACGGGACTTTCGCAGAGCCTTCGAGTCTTGCGCTAGAATTTTCCGCTTTCCGAAGGCATAGATTTCCTGAACCGAGCCCAATGTTGAGTGTCGTCAACACCTTGCTAACCACTCCTTCAAATACGCCGATCTATTGTATGAGAATCTTGCAAGGACCTGTATGCGGTGCGGGCGATCCCTTCGCGGTTCCCAAAGACATCCAGCATCTTTGTTTCCGCTTGCATGCCCGAGCTCAATTGCTCCTGAGGTGGGGACCTTCGGGCGGCACGGGTCGTCGGGCCTTGGTCTCTCATTTTGTGATTCCCCAACGCTGTTCCAATGACGTTGGCACAAACTTCAACACTTCGATACTAATCTCCGCTGAGAGCAGCGGCCACGGTAGTCATGGCCACAAGCGACACCAGCACCAACCTAAAGCAGGCCGAGGGATCGCACAACGCGATGCAAACCCATCCACGGGGGTCGTTTTGTGTACGAAAACCAAGAACACCACAAAGCTGGGATCCGAACAGTATCCACGACATGCACACAGCGGAAGGAGAGAGAGGCCGATCCTGCATTCATTCTCGCGAAGATCTGCGACCCCTGAACAGCATGCTTGTTGCAATGAGGGGGGGGGTGCGGATGGTGACAGCTTCTTCCCAGCCCATCCTGCAACTCGGCAGGGGTCGGTAACCCCTTGCTCCGCTGGTGCGCCAATCGCAACCTTCTGCAAAACACGGCGCATAGCCAAGCCAGCCAGCACGGCTCCCACAGCTCTCAAGATCTCTCAAGTGCAACGACGCGATGTCGGACCGGTGTCTGAGTCTAAGGTCCAAGCACGCCCCCAAGTCCTCCTTGGCCTTCGCCTGTTACGAAGGCACGCTGGCTGAGAGTGACAAGTGACTACTTGTGCCCCATCCACGTGCCGTCGAAAGCCCAAGCCTGCGCACGAAGCTCCGAAGAAGAGGAGCAGGAGGATCAACGTGTCAGACTGTCAAAGAATGCGCGAAAGAATGCTCCAGAACTAAGGATTGCTTGGATCAACTTGTCGAAACTGACCCTCGCCGCCTTTCACCCAAAGAGCGGATAGCAACCGGAAGCGTGTCACAAGCTGGGCTCTGCAGCGCAGGCCTCCAACTGAGACCTGATGCGCATCATGTTCAGCCGAGCCAGTCGCCGCTTGACCTCGGTAGCCACGACTGTACCCGGTCACTACCAGCTCGGAACCAAACGGGAATTTCGTGAACCACTCAAAGCTGTGACGGCATGTAGCATGGAATATGACACTGCTCTGTGGAATCGGAGTGCACCCTCCCGCCTGGTACCGTATAAGGTTTGCAGCGACCTAAGGAAAGCTTTTGAGCGCGCGTTGCTTCAATCATTTCGCTGACTTGAGACCAGCTATGGACAAAGGATCAGGCTGCAGTGGCTGCCACGAGCGGGAATGGAAACCACCTAGAACCTGGCATGCTTTGCGCTTCCTCTTCAAAAGGTGATTGCAGACCCGACCTAGGTCATGCCATGTCATGCCTAGGACCTAGGAAGCATGTCCAGCAGACCCAGGTGGCAGCACATGAGCATCCAGAAGAAAGACCTGGCCGAAAAGAGTCTGCGATACTCTGTGCAGTGACCCCTGTGGAGAGCGCAGCTGTATGCGGCTGTCCACCATTCGAAAGCACGGACGAACATGCAACATAATGGAACTGGTGTGAGCGGAAATTGCTGCAACGTGTTGCCACAGTTTCCAGATTCTCAAAGAATTCAAAAGGTAAGTCGAAGGAGGCTGAACCCGGCCTGGAGCCCACTGCCTGCCAGGCGAACAGCACCAGCGAGGCTGCCACGGCAGAGGAGAGCGGGGGCCTTGCACAACTTGCTGTATTGCAAAAGCATGGGCTTTACTAATGGCAAAAACACTTGCATGCCTGAGTTGGACAGTGACTGCTGGAGCAGGCTCCACTGCCTGGTTGCGAACGCGATTTGTGACTTTGAAGCGTGAGAACGGGTCCGGTGAGGGAGGGGAGATGGGAGCATGGCGATATTTCATTGACCATCGTCTATACTGGTACTGACGGAACCCAATGTTCGGGGCGGCACATCCCGGAGCCAGCAGCGAAGTGTCGCAGCAGGACCTCAGGCAGGCTGCGATCACAAGCCACAAGATGTCACACTCAAATAAGAGACCTTGAGGCACCAGCCGATGTACCCGCGACCTCGCCCCAGGTAGAGGGGTTCCTCTCCAGGCCAATCACAGATGTTTGTGTCGAAACAGAGGGGTCAGGTGAAGGGGAAAGAAATTACTTCGAACGTCTCACCTAAAACCAAGCAATGTCATGAGCATGGTAGCAATCATCCGGGACTGCGCACTCCAAGAGTCTACTCTGTGGGGTTGGGCACTCCTGGGATACTCTGCCTGGGGAGACGGGGGGGCGGATTCAGAGATACTTTGCGGTTCTTGGCGGTGGGAGATTCAAAGGGCGACAAGCACAACACACCCGAGCGAGGAGAATAGCTGAGCTACAGGGTGGAGAAAAACTGCAGCAACACCCTTCAAGAAACTACATCGACATAGACGTACGTGAAATTGCGATGTGTCAAGATGTCCGGAATATTTGCGATGCTGTCAACGTCTCCTCCTCCTCCTTCTTCGACTGCCTTCGCACCTTCCCGGAACGCTTGTTAGATCTGTCGACAGTGGTTTGCCTAGGCTGGGCTCGGAAGCGCCTTTGTCTGTCTTCAGCATGCCCCGAACCTTGGCAGTCCTATCCGGTCCTATCCTACCGTCTGCCTGCTCGGCGGCCGTCTGCTGCTGCCAACGTCTCAAGACGCTTCGCAATCGGGCCGGCCTGCACTCACTGCAGACAAAGCCTCAAAGCCACGCTCCACCGATGTGCATCCACCACGCATAGCAAAGAGCGCATTACATCTGCACCTCAAATTAAACTCTGCATGGTCTCGTCTTCTCCCTCCCAGCTACACCCAGCTGCGCCGTACCTTTTGTGGAAAAACCGGCGCTGCTGTAGCTGACGAGCTAAGGCCTAGCAGTCCAGATGTCACTCAGTCGCACTGCGAAGGGATACATTATATACAGTGCCGTTTGGACAAAGATACGACATTTGACAATTCGCTTGCCGCTAAACACACACACTTTAAGGTCGTGCCACCAGGTTGTCGGGTTGGGGTTGAGGGTTTCCGGCACTAGCTAATTCGGCAGAAGAGTTGCAAGGCGTGCGGGGCTTCAGGCCGGACTTGCATGGCCACGTCAAGGATCCCCCTCCCGCGCAAGCCACACGGGCCGCCAGGTATCCCGGCCGCAGCTACGGGAATGCTGTGCCGACAGTCCGTGCACAACTTGGGCAACCAACATTTCTTCTCTGCAAATCGCTGCAAGACTGGGACCATGGGACTGAACAAGAAACGTCAAGAGCCAAGAGATGTCTGAAAATGACATCCCCCGAGTGGCCTGACCGCTACATCTGAGATGTCTGAGATTGTGTGACCTGGATTCCCTTACATTCTTTCCCTTCGTCTCTCTTTGCGTTTGCTTACTGTGAAGGTACAGGCACAGCCTCGAACCGCACTGGCACAGGGATTGTTCTCGTGCTCCAAGGCGTGAGCGGATGAAACACAAGTTCCTGCATGATCGGATGTGACACCACGGTATCTGGCATTGCTTCAGTCAACAGCCTGAACCAAAGGCTCCCTCCAGCGATCGCGAGCATCCAGCCTGGGAATGCAACATTCGAGAGAATCAGTTGTGATGAGTTGTGATGAGATGTGATGAGCTGTGATTAGCCGCCGTGTTGTTCAGTGGCTCAGAAGCGTCTTCCTTGCATCTTCTTTGCATCTTCGTTGCTTTCTTTAGTCTTTTGCATCGCTCGAACTTCGAACTGCGGAGGGCCCGGCGCCGGCCGCAGCCAGTTCCCACTTAGCCGATACGGCGGGGCCAACTGAAGGTCCTGTGCAGATCTCGGACTTTGCTGCAACCTCAATCGTGACCTCACTCGTGCGCCCCAAGCAATCAGGCCAGACACACGGGCACGTTGCCATCATCCGGGATGAATCGGGCAGCCTCCTCGAACCGATTTGAACCGTCGAAACAGCCACTGACTCTAACCTCAAAATATGTCACACCTACGGTGCGCAACTACAATAACCTGCTAACAACAACTCCATATTAACGCAGTCCTCGGAGAGAGGCTCGCTCGGAGCCGGCAGATCCTAAGACCCCATGCACAGCGCAAATTTGGTCTTACAACACCACGGGATTCTCCGACTTTTGAGGTGCCAACCCAAGGGCTTGCCGCTCGGGTCTGGGCAACGCGAGGAGATGGAGTACCACTCACAAGGAAGCCTAAACAAAACCTAGGTTCCCCCCGCCCCCCCGGCCCCCGCCCCCCACTCACTGCTCCTGAATCCGCCAACCCCTTACGGGCCTCCCCGGCTCCACCTCCTCCGTTCCCCGATTCCATTTTGGACCAGCGTGCTGTCGGGGTTCAGCTTACTGATGTTTCAACCACAAAGCAGAGTCGAGGAGTGCAAAGATGTGCCAAAAAAGGGCCAGCTTTTCTCAACCCTGCATCTTCTACGCGAGCGTACGTTGGGGCCCGAGCTGACCCGGAAAGAGCGCCGCCTGGTCGCCCATCCGCCTCTCAGAGAGGCTCCGAGCAGCTTTTTCAGAATTTTCGGGATTGCAGCTATTCGGCTTCACCGAGTTTCAGCTTCGTACGACATCGTGCGACGTGGCCTTGGCCCTCTCCTTGGCCCTCTGCTCTGCCTCCGTGTCAAGCGGCCTCTGCAGCATCCGTGCAGTGAGCTGCACAGGATGTTCCAACGCAGGACGCTCAAAGCAACAGGCGCAAAGCACGGTGCAGGCTCGTGGCGCTGGCTCCACTCTCCAGCGTCCCAGCTCCCAGGGAGCGATCTCCACAGGCATCAACCTCCGAAGTCGCAGGTATACTGTCAAAACACTACGCGAAGCCATGTCAAGCATTGGGGACGGTGCCCAGAGCTCGAGGCCATTTGGAAGATCAGGCAGGCAACTGCAACCTCACTATGTGAAAACATCTGGAGTTTGTGTGCTGGGCATGCCAACGGCAGACGGCCAGCACCAAGTTCAGCAAACTAGTCGGCAACGTGAATTTTCGGCTTGGAGCGCTGTGCGCTTGACATCTAATCTTCTCCAATGTGCAACAAAGGTCACCCAAGCAGTGAACAACATTTGCAGTCAGAGTTTCCTCACAAGGTGGAAATCAATTGTGCCCTGCAAGATTAAAGACAACGAAGCCACGGGCGCAAGTCCCAGGATTCCTCCCATCGACTAGCCCGACAAGAACATCGCACATCGCGGATGTGCCGCAAGCTGCATCCCTTTTCAGCGCATGTGCAGAAGCGCCCCAAATAGAGAGGAAACTCGAACCAGCGTTGCGACTCGTAGGCCGTCTGCCGATGCCGAAAGCTATGGATCTGGCGAGGCAGCAGCTGGCCAGCCTTCCAAGCTCCAGACCTCAGCGGAAAGGTGTTGAGAACCCAACCTGGCCTTCTTTGAGGAGATGAGAACTCTTGTACCCATGGTGACACAACGTGTGACAGCACTGACAGCACATCATGGAAGATAAGGCCTACAGCCTCTTTAAGACTTTGAGATCCTTACATCTCCGGCGATAACGGCCCAGCATCCCAAGGGTGCGGAGCATTCTGTCCTTGTACGCCTTGGGCTTGCGTACTCTTGTGCAGGCGCCACGAATGGTGTCCTACATCATCAAGACGCCTGAACTGCAAACCAGTCGCCTGCCCACATATGGGGCATGTAGGAGATTGGTTCCGGCGGATCCATTCTGCTGCACAAGCACCTAGCAGCTTTGCACGCTGTGATGCCAACATCTTTGGTATTGCTCTCACTTGGGCGTCGGCGATGCACGTGCGCCATGCTTCCTGTACAACCTAGGGAGCGAGAGGAGGCAGAAACTGAGACATCACTCTGAGTGCATTGCTCTACCGTTCTTTGATGTTCTTTGCGTCCTGTTTGCTAGCCTCTGCATGACGCAGGAGAGAGGAGAGGTATATAGGCCCTTCTCGATTTCCTGAAGTATGCCCGACTTTGCACAAATGCGAGAAGAAATCGCAGAGCAGCTGAATCGCTAGCACAGCTACGGCAAAGCAGCATAAGTTGCAGCAGAGAGGATCGACGGTAGAAATTCACCTAGCCTTCGCTTATCATGCTGACAAGGAGGGGTCGCACGGCGTCACTTACTGCCAGCCGACCATCATCGACATAGTGACATAGTGCATGTGACATACCATGTACTGCATAAATTTACTCGATTCTGCTTTTACTGGGATCCACTGCCCCAGATTGAGCACAGACTGAGCCCCAAGACCACAAGGCTGAAGCAGCTCCCCATCCTGCACCAAATACACATATAGAGGCAAGGCAAGAATCCTGAAGCTGAAAGTGACACAAAAACACACTCGCCATGTAAAAAACAAAAAGTGACCTCAACCCCGCCACCGCAGATGCGGCACTCTGGCGGCTCCATCTGCTCTGCGTTGTCCGGCACACTTTGGGCTGCCACTGCCTCCTCTGCCTTCTCCTCTTGTCTCTCTTGTCCTTCCTCCTCCGGTGATCGCATCGCAGATGGAAGGTCTGGGTTGCGCGGCTGCCGCAGTACTCGGAGCTGAGATGCCATGTTCGAATATTCGGCGCGCACAGCCCGCGGCACTCCAGGAAGCATGAAGCCATCTGGCGTGGAAGCTGCCAGCTCGCGGCATCGTGCCTCGAGCTGTCCGGCCTCTTGCATCAGGCCAGCAAGCGCCGCCTCTGCTAGCTCGCGAGGCATGCAGAAGCCACTCGGTGGATTCGGAGCCTGCAAAGTCTGTGCCTCGTCCTGGGTTTGGCTTGTTTGGGTTGTGACGGTTGTGACGCCATCATTCAAGCAACGGAAGCACTGTTCCAGTAGGCCCAAAACAGCCACTCTCAAGGTCTCATGCCTCAAATAAGCATTGTAGTCTTCGGGATTGCTCATGATCATCACACCAGGCTCGTTCAGTGCCGGCCTCTCGTTCATGAGAGCCTGCAACTGAAGCAAGACCACCCTCATGTTGAAGGATGGATTCCAGCCTGGGCCCGGCCAAGTATGCAGGATGGAGAGGCACACCTTCCCGGAGGTGTAGAACTGCGGGTTGAAACGGACGCTCCCGTTGCCCGTGGTCATCAACCGGGCCAAGGGTGGCTCGTGTGGGTAGTTGCCTTTCGCGTACAGCACGAAATGGAAGAGCCCGCCTTCGTAAGGCGTGCCTGCTGGGCCCTTCACCAAAGCGTGAAGCAATGTTGCATAATTCTCATCTGGGCAGACTGTCACACCCGGGAGTGGGTCATCCTTGAAGCTGGTCATCTCTGCTGCCAGCCGACGCAGGCAAGCAGCGGAGGGCTGGTGTAGAACTTGTCGCGCAGCCACCGTCACAGGATCCCATTCCATGGCCCCTGTCTGTCCGGCTTGTGCAGCGAGCCCGTTCCCAGAGGACGAAGCGCTCGCGGTCTCGGAGGGCTCCATGGCTACAGAAGGGACCTGTCCCCACTAGTGTCAAAACGAATTCGTGGTTCTTCTAGAGTCTAGAGCTCCCAAACGGGCCCGGGGCTGGATGTTCCAATGCCTTGGATGGCTAGGCAAGCCTACACAAGTCACGAATCTACTAATTTAATCCCTTCAAGACCGACCAAATCCGACAGACAACTCGACAGCTCTTTCTGCCGCAGCAGAAGCTGCACAGCTGCCACGTTTGTCCCGGTGACCCTATGACTGTTGACCCGTACGAAAAAAGGTTGTCTGGTGCAACATGTTTTCACAAACTCCCAGATTCTCAGTTCGCAACGTGCACAACCCGTCCAATGCACTACGAGTCATTATGGGCGTAGCCTATCCATGGAAGGTTTGGAAAGCCAAAACGGCTTCAACGCGCCAAGGTGGGCATCCTCAAGCACCTCGAACCGTCTGGAACTCGGGCCTCCGAGACAATACTTGTAAACTTTCTCCACTCGCATCATCACTGTTACAACTACGATTAACACAACAAACTTGTTGTTGGCATTGGCAGCTTCTTGGGCGTCAGAGCCGCCGTGGTCGTGATGGTTGTTCATATTGTGTGCGAAACCAAAGGAAAAATCATGTGGTGGGAAACCGCACCAACATTCTGTTTACGTGATCTTTCATCATACCACAGCAAACCTTGTATGATGTTGTGAACACTACGGTGCTGTTTGGATTGGCCTACAAGATGGCAAGGACATTTTGCATGTGGCATGCCCAGTGACTTCTTAGTGGGTAGGCGACACTTTGCGGGATTCTTAGGGGGATCGACATGCGTGACCGTCTGTGGAATTCTCTGCCATGCACTGAGCAGGATTCTCTGCAAGCTCCTTTGGGAACAGGAGACCTGCGCCAGGTGATTCGGGTGAGGAATACAGAAGGTTAATTAAGAGCTCAAATCTAGCATCTCGGGATGGGAGGGGAATATGTACTATTAAAAAAAACCCTGTTTTCCCCTGGCTGCGCTGTTCTTGTCGCATTGTTGGCTGGTAGCTCGAATTGTAGCAGCAGAAGAAGAAGAAGCATCGTTAAAGGTGTGGAATCCCGCAGGCAATCCCGGCAGATAATCCCGAAATGAGCACAAGCACGACTGCATCCGTTCGAGTGCAAAACGGAGGAGAGAGGTAGGGACAAAGACTGGAAGTGCAAGCCGCTGCGTGAGAAAAGTGAAAGTGGGAGCGAAATCGAGCACGCATGAGACGCGTCCGAAGGCGAAGGAAGCAGACAGGGGCAGGCGTCGGTGAAGGCAGACTGGACACATGAACATGTGACCTACAATTGTGGGTCCGGGAAAGCAGGTAATTACACCCAATGATGCTGCGATTCGGGGCAAACATATGTGAACAATTTCAGCCACCTTCGCCTCACAAGCCAAACCTCTGAAGTCATCCAAACAGCCGACAGGGGAGCTGGCTGCCCCCCCTCGCTTTGGAAAGCAAACACATGCTGCCATTGCCAACATGCGAGGTTCTGGACTCCTGGCGCCAATATATTGGCCATTTGTCCGGGATCGATGCGACCATTCCGCACATGGGTACGCAGATCCACGGCCTCATTCGCCAGAGTCATGATGCAAGTAGGATCCACTCGCCGGATTCTCTCCACCGCCAAGTCAGAGCGTGGCTCGCATTTACAACTGCCACTCTTGCAAACATGCGAACGACATTTCCTTCCACTAGGCATTGGCAATCCATTCGGTGTCTAAATAGGCCTGCGTCCTTGTCTCACAATCGAATCATGAAGGCTTTCGATATGACAGTCCAAAAACCGTGGAACAACAGTCGCGCGACATTCACCAGTGGCAACGATATTCCATGGACATGATGAATGCTGGGCTCATTGAGAAGGTGAAACGAGTAACCCAAAAAGACATCAACAAATGGCCCTTCATCAAAATGCAAGACCGCAACTTCGCAACAACATAGTCCAGGCTTGTTTGTGCCCCTGCTGGAGTGAATCTTTGGAGCGCTGTCACGAAGGCTGGAAGGCACAGAAAAACAAGCCTTGCATGCGGGAAAACCCAAATAAACCACTGTTAGCACCATGCTCTGCCTTCCTGCTTTCCCATCTGCGCACAGCTCACCCTAACAAAGCCATTGGGAGATGTGCCCTTGAAATAGGACCAATGGATTCTGGGACACCACAGCATCAAGCGCGGTTTTTGCTGCTTGGCAGCAGGGGCGCTCGCCGCTGTCTGGTCATTAACATACAGTGATTTAACATCCCTACACTGATGGCGCCATGGCCTGACATGGCCCAGCATGGTGCTGCATTTCTCATGACTCGGCCTCGCAAGGCTTGCAATAGGCTTGCCACTGCTGCCATCTGCTTCTCTATGGAAGAATGTAGCTAGGCTCTGACTCATGGTTTGTGAAAAGCAATGCCTTCTTTCTTTCGTGCACCACAATCCCGTGAGCAGAACTACAGTATTATTAATCATGCGACACTAGCTGAACACATATGGAGCAACTACACTATGCATCCACCGGCCCTGGACAATGTTGAGCACTCTTGTGAAGTCATGCGAAGTCATGATGAACCCCACCAGTAGGAGGCGTTTCCGGTTTTTGTTGGGCCCCGAGAAAGCAGTGGAAATTCCGGAGCCCAAACTGATTCATTCTAAAGAGTGCTTCCGGGCGCAAAAGAAAGTTTCCATCAGCCCCGGGTCCTAGGAATGAGTGATTCCAGTGGCCTGGGGGCAATACACGCGTGCTTCCGGCCGGAACCCCAGCCCCCACCTGAGAAGAGTGATTCCATCGACACTGAAGCAAGAACAAAGTCACCCATCAGAGTAGCCTCGGAAAGAAAAGACACCAGACGGGCGGATCCCTAAACCCAATTTCCTAAAGTCCTAAAGATTGGGGCCAGGAGGTCTCAACCGCACCGACATGCACTTTCACAGGCTTTCACTCAGATTCTGAAGAACGAATTCACACGTGCTTCACAGGTTCCAACAACAGCTTACAGGCCACGGCAAACCACTTCTTCTTCACACAACTTTCACAGACTTCGGGAAGCTGGGATACGCAATGCATTCAAACATGTCTCACAGAAATAGTTGTTTCTCTCCACCGCAGAGGTTACCAGGAATCAGGATTGTCAGTTTATGTTAGCTTCGGGGCCTCAGCCACCTTCTCTGCGATGTCAACGACGCCCGCTGAACACCACCAATAACCTGTGGGTCGCCACCATGTCTTCAAGGTATCACCACGGGATGTTCGGATGTCCATCTTTTGCAGTGTCCGCACCTATCCGGTTCAGGAGGGTATCGAGCATTCCCCGCCCAAGAAGCGAAGCGCTCCGCTCCACTGCAGCCTCAACGACTGCGAAGCATCGCCAACCGCCGCAAATCAACGTGCAGAGCGTGCAGAGAGTGTAGAGCACGCGGCTGAGCCCGGCACCTCCGTGATCCCCAGCTTCAGTCTGCTCCACACATGAAGCGCCTTTGAGAGCTTTGCAGGTGAGGCCATTGCACTTACACGTCCTGCAACAGCAACCGCAATGAAGTGCCTGCACCTTTGCCTTCTCAGATGTCTCCGGAAGGAGGAGCAGCCTGAAGCTGACAAGTGGCACCAGCAGCCAGCAAAGTCAAAGCGCTGCCGAGAAGCCATCGGCCACCCGAAGGCTCTTCGAGCACTTCGCGGTACTCCTGGTGCACCCAGACGTGTATTCTTGGAGACGAGTAGCTTCCAAAACCCACCCCGAGCTGCACGTCTAATCCCCATGCTGTTGAGTGTGTGTTTGGTGCGTTTTTGCTTGGAATACGTACCGCCCCTAGCCCAGGTGTTCGAGAGCGGACGGTGCATCAGGGCATGTGTGGCCGACCATAGGGGACGGACAGCAAGCCCCCGTCCCACACTGAATCGACTGACCCTAAACACACAGAGCCGAGGCCCGCGGGTCGCATAGCGTTTACATTACATCGTCGTAGGAACCAGATGCCCAAAAGTTCGTTTTGCACAGAAGCCTGAATCCGCGACCCCAGGCCCACAGGACTACAGTGAAAAAAGGCGGGGGCTGGGCAGTCGGTGGTTTGGTGCCCACGGATGTTGGGCGTTTGTTCTGTCGTGCGGCCGATTGCGACCGCAAAGCATGGGAGGTCTGGCATGGTCTGGCGAGCGCACACGCACACGCTTTGTAGCCTCGTAGGTTGCCCAGAACAGGCCACCGGCAGCTGCCCCGAGCCTGGGTCTGGAGTGGACTCTGTCTGAAGTGCCAAAAGGCACAACATGGCACAGTGGCAGTCTCGATCCAAATTTGAGCCAGGGAGCACTATGCCACCAGCTTTAGAGACAATGGCCAGACCTCCAGGCCGTGTCGGATCTGACAGATTCAAGCCTTGCACCGTGAAAGAAGGGGGCGCGCATGTTGTGCCTGAGGGAAGCTGCCAGAGAAGACCTGCTGAAGCACCCAGCAGCATTGCCTCCCATGATGACGAAGAACATTCGACAGTCTCATTAAGACTCTGTGTGCAAATCAGGCACTGTTCTTGGCCAGGCACGGCTAATGACGGCTAATGTAAGCGCTTGCCAACTTCGGTCAAACTGTGTACTATGTAATGACTATGCTGCTACCCTTCGCTTCTCTGACATGCTTGTTCAAACTTCAGAATTGGCGCAAATGCTGGCGTCCTGGAGCGAAACCCTTTACTGCCTTTACCCCTGCACACTGACAAGACTGAGAACGACGTCCAACCAGGTGCCCCGACAAAAAGACCGTGTTCTCGGCGAAGTGCAAGAAGAACTGCCGTTACACGAGGCCTCAAAAGCAGCTGACGTCTTCATTGCGACATTGTGAACTCACAGCTCCGGGCAAGGGGCGGAGGCGCAAGTCCATCCAGAAAATGCAGGAACTCGCTCCCTGCAGAGCAACCAGAACAACAGTCTTCAACT